GCTGTGGTGGCAAAGGCGTGGCGCCGAGGTGGCGCCGATGCGGGACGACACCAGTGCGGCCACATGGACGGCCTGGATTCATCCACGCGCATGAGCGGGCGGCCCGGGCACGGGCGTGACTCAAGCCGACTCGGCCGAGCCATGGTGCGGCGGCGGCACGCGACCGGACGACCGCCGGCGATGGCGGCGCGACGCAGCGGCGAACACGGGAAGTGGCAGAGGGGGAAAAAGGAGGGGTAGGGAATTCTCACTGAGCGCCAAAAGGGCGAGGGACGATGGGCGGCGGTGGCGCCCTTGCAGGTTGGCGGTGACGGCGACGGTCCGGTGGCAGCCGGCAAACACGGAGCTGCGGACACGGATGGCCACAACCTGGGGATGGCGGCAATGAGGTTAGGAGAACACAAGATGGCAGAGAACAGCGGGGAAGGACGGCCAGAGGAGGAAGAAGAGAGAGTGAGCTCACCTTGCGCGGGGAGAACGGAGTCTCGGTAGCGATTGGCGAGGGTGGGGGGCGGCCGGGCATCATCAAGGCCCTGCGAAGCTGGAGGTGGAGATGTGCTGGCCAGACGCGGCGTCCATTGCCGGCAGCGAGCGGCTCGGAGTGACAAAGGCGAAGGTTGCTCAGTTTTGCGGTGGAGGCAAGGTTTCGGTGGTGGAAGGGGGAAATGGGGTGGAGGCCGGGCTTGGCCTCGAGACGATGAGGCCGATGGAGGTGGTCGCGTGGCACGACGATGGCTAGGACGGCGGCGAGGTACGGCTGGAGGCAGCAAATGGCAGTGATAGCTCAGGTGCACGGTGGAAGAGGAGTTCCGGTGGTGGTTTGTGGAAACGGAGTGGTGGCCGGTGTACGGCGCGAAGCGGCGAAGCTGATGGTGGTGGCGGCTCGGTGCAGAGACGGCTAGGGCGGTGGTGGTGGCCGGCTGGACAGCGCCGGCGAGCGGTGGAGCTCGAGCACGCGTGGGGAGCACGGGAGAGGGCGCGAGGAGCTCAGGAGGAAGGGGAAAACGGAAGAGGAGAGCACGGGGAGGCTTTTTATAGCGCGAGGGAGCAACGGGGAGGCCGGGTAGTGGCGAATTTGGAGCGGCAACGGCCGGTGACGTGGAGCTCAACGTGGGCAGAGTGGGGGCTCGATTTGGTGCCAAAAACTGGGGAAAAGTGGGGGATTTGGTGGAGGAGGTGGAGGGGAACCGATCCCACGTGTTTGGGCGCGAGGGCGCGAGCGGGAGAGACCGGAATTGGGGGCGACGTGGGGCGGCAAAGGCGCCGCATGGCGCGGTTGGGGGCGGCTGGAGGTAGGAGATGGCCCCGATAGGTGGGGCCCACCTGTCGGCGGCTCGAGGAGAGGAGGGAGGAGGGGGGAGGCGAGCTGGGCTGGCGGCCTAAGAAAGGAGAGGGGAGGAGGCGGAAGGGCCAGGAAGGGAAAGGGGAGGCTTGGGCCGAGCCCATGAGGGAGGGGAGGGGATTTTAAATTGTTTTCTTTTTATTTAAATTGATTAAATGAACTTTGTATTATTAAAATTATTTCCTGAGCTCCGAAAATTCGCGGGAAATTTCAGAGAGTTCATTAGGGCGCAAAGAACATTACAAAATATTCTCGGCCATGATTTTTAAGTGGAAAATTTTAATTCTCCCAATATTTCACTTGATTAAATTGCTTTAACTTTTATTTAATTTCTAGAAAATGATTTATTTAATGATTTTTAATCCCAAACAAAAATCGGGGCGTTACACCTACCTCTATAGTTCCGTGGCATATTGCACCACTTAATGATATTCAATAATCTAAACATCATGCTTACATTACTAAATATTCCTAGAAGCAATCATACGAATGAACATTAAGCCAATACCATTGCATATCTCTGGTAAGCTAGCCATATAATGAATACGAGACAAGTATAAACCAAAGTTGGTACTCGTATAGTTATGCAAATAAAGTAAAGGACCACAACAATATAAAGAATAATATTTCATTATAGAATAAAGTCTTGTAGGAGGGATATAAATTATTAGAACCATACCTGAATTCTCCGGAAGACTTGAAGAACTAGGAAACTATTCAAATTCTAACTTCACTAGCACTAGAACAAAGTAAATAAACTATGGAGAGCTTCTTCTCGATTCCTTCTTGGTGTGTGTTGGAGGAGAAGATGAGAGGGCTACTTATAGGCCAAGTGATGCCTTAGGAATGTGGAGATGCTAAGCATCAAAAGAGTATCTTCACTCTTGAGCTACCAAGTGTCCTCTACGGTGGTTTATTCCGATAGAAACGGTTGCAACCGCCTTGGATAGTCGGTAACTACCGACATGTGAAATTTGAGGGTCAGATTGGCCAGGCCTGGGTCGGCCGACCCAACCCCTGGCTAGCCCCACTGGCCCAATCCTTCATCCTGGGTTCTGCTTGGTGGGTACTTGGTCCAGTGGTGTGTCGGTTGGGCCCATTTGCAGTGCTTCCATTAGGTTTGTGGGCCCTTCCATACATTCATTTGCCACTTGTCTACCTTTGACAGATTGAACGAGTGTTTTCTACCATTTCTCCTCCATTTATATGGTGATCTTCTGTAAGCAAATACAATGCCAAGTACGACAAAGTGGAAATAGGTTATTTCTAACTAAGTATGCATGCAAGCATTGCTAGTTCTCAATTATTTTTGGAAGTATTGATGATCGAAATCTATTTATAATGACCGTCAACACCCACACCACCTCCCACGTTGCGAGCTAAAGCTCCACTGCCCACCGCCGATCTCCGGCCAACCACCGTCATCGTTCTAGACCAGCCGCACTACGCCTAGGCCGCCTCCAGCTTCGCCTCGTCGCTCCACACCTCAGCCGCCACTTCCCCGCCGCCAGGACCAACCAAAAAATTCATGTCCTCATCACCCAGTGAGCCCCTCCGCGATCTCCATCTCCGGCAACCTCTTCCTGCCGCTTCGTGCCACTCCTCCCTCTCCTAACCACTCTCTCATCTTCCCCAGGTTGTGCCGCTCCTCGGGCGCCCCTCTACCGACGTCGCTCGCCGCCGGAGCTCCGTCCACGGCATCAACCCACGAGGCGCCGCCACCAAATCCTCGCCACCGCCACCTTCCCAGCGCGCCTCTTTTCCGGGTGTGCCCAGTAAGCTCCCCCTCTCTCTCTCCCTCGCCTTGTCTGCTCCTTTCTGTTATTTCCTATGCCTGTGGGCCTAGACATACGAAGGTAATTAACTAGGAGTCTTTCAAGGCCCCAGGAATCGGAGGACCACTTCTCTAAGTTCGATCTACCCAACAGTTAGCCATGGTGTGCATATACATATTACATTGGGATTGGTATTTATGATCCTAGAAATTAATCAAGTACATCTTTCTTTTGTTCTTTGTTTACTTTGTATACTTAGTTATACTGACAAGCATGCCTATATATCTCTCTAAAGAGATATCCTCATGTGTTATTTTCTGTCCTAAATAAGGAAAAAGTACGAATTACACCCCTGAACTATCGTGGTCGACCGAATTACCCCCATAAACTCGAAAACCAGACATCACTCACCCTAAACTTTCGATACCGGATGAATTACCCCCCTCAACCCAATCCAGAGCGGTTTTATCTTACGTGGTGTACACGTGGCACTCCAGTCAGCATTTTCTTATTTTTTTAATGGTGGGGCCCACCTGTCATGTACTCTCTCACCTCCTCCTCTTCCCTCTCTCTTGGCGTTCTCGCCTTCTCAGCAAAGCAGCGCGCGGCGGCGGACGATGGGCGGCGCCGTGGGATGCGGAGGCGGCGGCGGCGTGGGATGCGGAGCCGGCGGCTGCGTCGCTTTCTCCTCTTCCCCTCTCTCTCTGTCTCTCTCTCTGGCATCGTTGGGCGCGGGTGGCGGGTGCGGCTGGGCGAGCGACGATGAGCTGCGGGCGCGGCTGGGCGAGCGGAGGCAGCTGCGGGTTCCCCGGACGCCGCAGCAGCTTCAGGAGATCAGCGACGACGCACCGCGCATTCTTGGTGATCGGCGTAGAGAATGCCCTGCACCTGACGCCCGACGCGGCAAAGACGAAGCATGTCGCTGCAGAAGCAGGAGCAGGCATGGTTGCCATCGATCTCGCCGAACCATTCGGAGCTGTGTCGAGCAAAGCAAGTGATCGATAATAGATGGCTACCAAAAGGTAGAAAGCAGTTAAGCAGAAGATTGCTCAAATGCTGTTCACGGCTTGAGCATAACACACGGGCAGTAGGTATTAGTAGCTAGTCGTGTGTCCCTCGGCTCGGTCTTCGTTTTTTCTCGTTTGATCATAGCCATGATTTTTTAGGCGGTGGCGCGTGTTGGTATGCATGCCAGTTCAGTGAACCTCCCTCCATTGTATGCAGAAAAGACACGAGATAGAGGTTTCGTCTAGCAAGCAGCCACAAATGATACATGCGAAAACAGAATCGGCAGATCTCGAACGGTAGAACACACCAAACACGTAAATTTCTCACAATTTTTTCAGCTTCTAAATGAGTATACAAGCCGGCCATCTTATTGTACGTGTTTGCTTTGTTCTGAAATGTGTAGAAACTACTCCATCTTGCAGGGAACGCGCGGCGCGCTCGTCGGCGCGTGTGGTTGTACACGAACGCCGCCCTGACACGAGCTTACGTTGGCTAGCTCAAACGCTGGACTTGCCCAGCCGCGCCCGACACCCGCGCCCGAGAGAGAGAGAGAGTGAGTGAGAGGGGAGGAGGAGAAAGCCACGCTGCCGCCGGCTCCGCGTCCCACGTCGCCGCCGCGCGCGGCTTTGCTGAGAAGGCAAGAACGCCGAGAGAGGGGGGGGGGGGGGCAAGGAGGAGTAGGAGGTGAAAGAGTATATATGACAGGTGGATCCCACCATTAAAAAAAAGAAGAAAAATGCTGACTGGAGTACCACGTGTACGCCACGCAAGACAAAATCGTCCTGGATTGGGTTGAGGGGGTCCGGTATTGAAAGTTTAGGGTGAGCTATGTCTGGTTTTCGAGTTTAGAGGAATAATTCAGTCGACCGCGATAGTTCGGAAGTGTAATTCGTACTTTTTCCATAAATATGTGGTCTTTCAACAACACTTTTGCAAATATATGTGTTGAAATACATAGTTTCCACATACCACGGCTCACAAGATCACAAAAAAATATATTGTTTGAATGCAACAAGAGCAACAGATAAAACAAGAAAAAAAAAACAACTACTCATCATCGCTGTCAACTTCAAGTAGAGCATCTCCATCTTCCTCGCTGCAGTACTCTTCCAATGTGTCATCGAAAACTTCATCTCCATCTTCACATTCACTTTGACATACAAGGGTTGGCCTTTCTTTCCTCAAACGAGAAATCTCAGAAGCTTCAAACATTTGTCCTGGTTCATCATCTCTATTTAAAGGCATCTCAGTTGTTGGTTCATCAACTACTGTTCGGATAATACCCTCCTCTTGATCATCACAGCAATATTCCTCTTGATATGCAGGACCATTAAATGGTACAGAAGTTTTCACTGACATTGTATAGATGTCTATGGTCAAATGTTTGGACAACTTGCCAATTGTTACCGAATCTTGTATCTGGCAAATAAAACACTTTTCTAGCCTGAGTAGCTAGAATTAAAGAATCATCTTTGTACCATAGACTTCCCACATTGATGCTTTTATAGAACCCATCATCTTTCAGAGCATTCCTCCCATCCAGTTTATACCAATCACATTTGAACAACACAACTGACCTATCATCACCATTATAATCTATCTGGATGATCTCTTTTATGTTTCCATAAAACTCAATGAGCTCGGAGTTATGTGTGCCTAGTGAAATTACTCCACTATTCTGAGTCTTCTTATTCTTATCACGGTCCAAAGTGTTAAACCGCACCCCATTAACTATACATGACTTGTATTTCTTGATTCTTAAATCAGGACCACATGCCAAGGAAAAGATGTCATCATCTACCATTTCCTCATCTGTATTCTTTCTCAGCATCTGGCATACCACATAGAACAATAAACATTATTAGAATGCATAGCACAATGTGTATGATAATTTGTAAAAGATGCTTAATGAAATCTAACCAGGTTCCTAAACCATGTCTGGAATCCTTGTCGAATTGTTTTTTCAATGTTAGACACCTCTTCCCTTTCTAATTCATCCCTGAACATTCTGTAAAAACAAAAAAGTGTCAAAAAAATGGCCCATATGAACAAGAGGAAGGGAGCATATAACACACTACATAACTGAAAACATACTTGATATATTCCTCAACTTGACTACAGTTGTTCAGCACATACCACACCATTTGATCTAATCCACCATCATCATATACTAATTCTGCTGCTGAAGTAAATCTCACTCCATGCCCGAACACATCTGCACCATAGGCTTCTTCATTAGAAAACCCAACATTTCTCGCTTCTCTATTAAATCTTGTTTCAACATCGTCCATGTACTTGGAGCAAAATGTTAGGCATTCATCTGCAATATATGCCTCTGCAATGGAACCTTCTGGTCTTGCCCCATTCCTCACATAACGCTTTAAAGTGTACAGCCGCCTTTCAATAGGGTACATCCACCCATACTGCACAGGACCTCGGAGCAGCGCCTCCTCAACCAAATGTACAGGAAGGTGCATCATCACATCAAAAAGAGCCGGGGGAAAAATTTTCTCAAGCTTGCACAATAATACAATAATTTCTTCATTCATTTGAACTAACACATCCTTGTTCAGAGTTTTGCTACACAATCGCTTAAAAAAGTTTCCCAACTCAGCTACTGCTTCATATATATCCTTGTCAACAAAGCCTCGTAAAGCAGCAGGTAAGATTGTTTGCAAAAGAATATGACAATCATGTGTTTTCAGGCCTTGTACCTTGCTTCCATCAGCATTAAGACATCTTGATATGTTCGAAGCGTAGCCATCTGGAAACTTGACCTCCCGTAAAAAATTACAAAAGGCAACCTTTTGTTCTTTAGACAAAGTGTATCTAGCTCGAGGCATCTCAGAAGTATCTCCTTCATCTCTGAACTGCAAGTTTTCTTTAATTCTTAAGTCACTCAGGTCAAGCCTAGCATTAACTGTGTCCTTTGTCTTCCCATGTATATCGAGAATAGTGCCAACCAAGCTCTCACATATGTTCTTCTCAATGTGCATGACATCAAGATTATGTCTAACCTTTAAATTTTTCCAGTACTCCAAATCCCACAGACAAACTCTCCTACTCCAAATTTTCACATTTGCAGTTTTGTCACTATCCAAGGCAGAACGCTTCCTTTTCCTGCTCTCCTTTTGCTTGATCCCAGGTTTGACATGTCTAACCTTCTCTAATTCTGCTAGTAGCTCTGCTTTTGTAAATTTACCTGGTGGATCATTGGTTCCATGAAGGCCACTGTATTCATTGTTCCTCCTCAAACGATGTCCCCTTGGCAGGAAACGGTAGTGTCCAATATATGCAATTTTATTCCTTAGTGCATAAGACAGAGGATTTTTGTCACAGTGAATACAAGCAAAATAGCCTTTTGTGGTACGCCCAGACAAAGTAGCCAGAGCTGGGTAATCATGAATGCACCATAACACTGCTGCACGAAGTTTGAACTCTTTGTCAATAATGGCATCATAAGTATGCACACCCTTCCAAAGCTCAATCAATTCTTCAACAAGAGGCTGTAGAAATAAATCAAAGTCTTTCCCAGGTGAACATGGACCTGGAATCAACAGAGCCATCATTAGATTGGATTGATCCATGCATGCCCAAGGTGGAAGGTTGTATGGCACAACAAATACAGGCCACATGCTGTACTTCGTGTTAAAATTGCCAAAGGGATTGAATCCATCAGTAGCTAGCCCAAGTCTGAGGTTTCTAGCTTCTTTAGCAAAATCTGGATATTCCCTGTCAAAATCTTGCCAAGCCTCACCATCAACTGGATGACTCATTTCCTTCTCACTAGGCTGCCTCTTTAACTTGTGCCATTGTGCTTGTTCTGAACCCTCCTTGGTTACAAATAGCCTCTGTAGCCTAGGCACCAATGGAAAATGCCGCAATACTTTCTGCGGAATCTTCTTCCTCTGTGGGTCTTTCCATCTTGACAAACCACAAACTGGGCAATTATCAAGATCAGAATAATCCTTTCGAAACAAAATGCAGTTGTTGTAGCAAACATGGATCGATTCATATCCAAGTCCTAATTCCTTATATCATTTTCTTTGCTTCATCGTATGATGTTGGTAGTGTATTAAACTCTGGCAATGCTTCAGCTAGTATCTTCAAGATTGCAGAAAATGCAGTGTTGGTAATCCTATAAAATGACTTCATATGAAGTATCTTTACCACAAAGGAGAACTTTGAAAATTTGGCACACCCAGGATAAAGCTGACGCTTAGCCTCCTTCACCAGAAGTTTAAGAAAAGAGGTTTGACTGTTTCCATCATTGTTCCCATTTTCAGGTTCAGAGTCATGACTACCATGTCCTCTTGCAGTTTGAAGGTCACTAAGCAAACTATCTAACCGATCACCAACATTGTTGTCAGTCTGAGCCATACCAATGGAACCCTCATCAGTGTCAAAAACAGAAACAGAAGCAGGGACTTCATTAACATGTACACTAATGTCCTCTCCATGATGTACCCACCGAGTATATGTACAGTCCATACCATTCATCAAAATGTGTTTCTTCACAGTGGGCTGATGCAGGTACTTCTGATTAAGGCATCTAGTACATGGGCATAGAATCTCATCATCCTCAGCATATTTTTCTTTAATGAAATCCATAAATTCATTGACACCATTGACATATTGAGTAGAAAATAGTGTGCTGTGCACCCAACTTCTATCCATCTGAACATGCATTGGGGAAACACACAATTTAATTAATAAACGTGCACAGTACAAGAAAATCAGAGAGAAGATGGTGAGGCAGCCGGCGGCGGGAAGGGAAGTCACCTTGCAGCAAGGAAGCAGGCTGCGAGGGACGGTGGAAAGCGATTGTTGCAGCTGCCTTCCTCTGTCAGTGGCCCGCCGCGCAACCCGCCGTCACCGTCGGCGTGGGCTGGGAACGCCCACGCGGCAACCCGCCGTCACCGTCGGCGTCGGCGTGGGCTGGGAAAGCCCACGCTCCTGGCCGCGGCGTGTGATTCACCGTCGTTGGCCTTTGGACGACCTCTCGTCGCAAAGGCGTGGGGTCTGCTGTAGGAGCGACATGGCGAGGTGGATTGGGGCGGCGGCGCGGTGAGGTGCGTGGGAGCAGAGCGGCGAGGTAAGGGATTCAGCAATTACATTGCTAGGGTTTTCATGATTACCAACCATGATGATATGATGAATAAATTGTAAATTCTAGCACAACATAGTGGCGTAGTGCAGTGGTAAAGCGCGCCACTTGTGACGTGGAGTTCTTAGGTTCAACTCTCAAGCGCTGCACTGTTTTTTTGAATCAGACATTTATCAAAGAAATGGCTCGTGGCCACGTCAGCATGCCACGCTGGCACCCAATATCGCAATGGCACATCATGACGAAACTAAAAACGTCACGGATTTGGTTCAGCTGCGCAATTGTGACGGGTTCTTGAATTTCGTCACAGAACCTAGGCCCAATTTTGGGCTTCAAGAGACCCATGTCTGGTTTAGGTAATCCGTGACAAAAAAAAATCTATCACTAAAAACTGTCACAGATCAACCAAATTCTTGTAGTGGATGGATAGGGGCCACATCCCAGTTGGTTTTTTCTTTTTTTTTTTTTGCTGCTTGTATATATTATCCCACCCAAATCCACACAAATCATCCACAAAAAAATTATCCACAAATCATGCACAACAAAATTATCCGCAATACATACACATCCACAATCCACAAATCAATCACAAAATCATCCCCAAATCAACAAAAAAAAATCTCCAACAAAATATACAAATCATTCACTACAAATAATTCAAAAAATAAAAAAAAATACATAGTCGCCAGCAGCCGCCGCCCGGCCGTAGGACGACGGTCGCCTTCCGCCCGGCCGCCGCCTGGCCGTGTGCCACCTTGCGGCTAGCCATCGCCGCCGGGGCGGCCCTCCACGCACGATGGCCGCCGCCCTCCGCGCTGGCCTCCGCCGCTGCCGCCCGGCCGCCTCCCCTCCCGAATTTGGCGGAAGGGAGGCCGCCACCACCGCCCGATTGCCTATCGCCGCCGAATGCCGGGAGGTGCGGCCCGCCGGAGGGGAGGAGAGGGGTGAGAGGAGGAGAGTTAAGAAATGAGAGGTGAGAAGGAGGAGAAGAGAGAAGAGATAAGGTTGGGGACCGCGCTCGGGCAATGTTTTTTTTCCCGATTGTTAATTATGACTAATGGACTAGTGGAGAACCAGACTAAAAACCGGTTTAAACGGGGATTATTGTGTATTTTGGGCAACGGACCAAAAGATGATTTCTCAAGCAAGGGCGGGCTGCCTTCCTATTTAAGGTTGAATTGGCGAGGTGGGATTATTCTAGCTACAGTACCGCGATGGTATTGTAGGGCTGCTGCTGCTTTGCGCGCTCTCTCTCGCTGCTCTGCTTGCTGCACTGCTGCTTGCATGCTTGGCTGGTTTTTGCTATTGGGCCGGCTAGCTACTGGGCTGCATAGGCTGGGCTGCATACCTAGCTTTGCTCTTTTTTTTTCTCTCTCTCTTCTTTCTCTTTTTCTTTTTCTCTAATTATTGCGGCGCGTTATAGTTACCAACACCATCTACCGAACACACCCTTAGTCGAGTTGGCATTGCAGTTGGTCGAGATGCTCGTCGAGCAGGAAGCCGCACGTGGCGGTGAGGTTGCCATTGGGTGGAGCTCATCCTTCGGTCCCATTTAGCGCGCCTCATGATTCGGGTTCTAAGGGATTTGGGTAGCTAATCTCGTACTTATGTCATCATCGGTGTACGGGGATTTTCTTCCTTTATATGTGTGTGCGCTAAGAGGATGAGGGGCGAGTCCATAGCGTGGACAGCAAGTCCGATCATTGCGTGTAGGAAAGGATCGTGAGTGTGGCCAGCCTCACAGTACTATGGAAAGTATCATTGGTGTCAGTTGAGAATCCCATATAGGGGCCAGATTTTCCAACCGACAGCAGTCAGATGGCACTAAGGACTAAGGAGGTGCCTAACTAGTGCCGGTTTTATAACCAGCACCACCTATAGGGTGCAACCTTTTTTCATTTTTACAGACTTGAAAAAATCCAAAAAAATATTTATTATTTTACTGGGCATCTATACACAGTTCCACTTTGGATTAAATTTTGGATACTCGTGGCACACTTTTCAAACTGCTAAACGGTGCGTTTCGTACGAAAACTTTCTATATGAAAGTTGTTCTAAAATATCGGATTAATCTATTTTTTCAAGTTTGGAATAATTAAAACTCAATTAATCACACATTATTACGACATCGTTTTGCGTGAAACACTTAATCTTCATCTTCATCTTCATCTTTAGGACATTCAAACACCACCTTTGTTTCCAACAGCTCCCAAGATAAAATATTTGCTATTTTACTAGCATCTATACACAGCCCCACTTTGTTTCCAACAACTCACAAGATGTTTGCACCATTTTCACAAGAATATGAGTTGAAGCTAGGGTTCAAACCCGCAACCTCTCTTCAGCCGAAGTCTGCTTACCTTGTCACCTAAAAATTATTTTCTTTAAAGCAAATACTTTTCTTTTGTTACTACTCTTATCCAAAACTTATAATCCATATTTAACGTCATAGATAAGCCCAAATAAAATTTTTGTTAATAACAAAGTTATAAATACAACTTTCCTATACATTTTGTTCACATCCAAGATAGTTTAGAAATTTTAAAAATTCACTTCTCCAAATAGATCTGAGAAGTTATAACATATTTTTAGACATCCAAATAACCTCAAATCAAAACGTGATCAACTACAAGGTTGTAGATATCGTCAAGTTCTACAAATTTAATATAAGTTTATTTTCGTATGACTTCATATGAAAAAAGTTATATACAAAACACATATATGAGTAGTGTCATTATTGGTGCCGTTTTTATTCCAATTTTTATTGAGAACCGGCACATGTGAAAACTAGATATGTCGTTTTAGATAAAAAAATCATTTACTATTGTGCCACACTCATAGGTGCCGGTTTATTACGAGAACCAGAACCTATATGATGTCCATTGGTGCAGCTTTATTATAAGAATCGGCAACTGTAACTATTGGTGCCGGTTTTTTATGGACCTACACAAATGAGTGGTTTTGGGTGTCAGTTTTTATTTATAGATGTATGGAAAGGTGAGGAAAGTCTCATATCTATCGGTTTTTTACTTTATTTCTACGTAGCAGCACCTATGATGCTGTCTCCTTTCAGGGTTTCTTGAGTAGTTTCGTCGATAAGTGCGCATTGGCATGGGGTGGGCCAAGCTCATGTGTGTTTGTCTGGTTCAGCGGCCAGAGATCAATCTAACACATGTTTCTCCTATCTCCTCTTTCAAATAGATAATCAGTTATTCTTTGTCCTAATTATGTTATGTAGTGTGTATTTCAAAGGAATAGGGGTGAATGTGTGTTTATGTGTGCCTACATTTATACTATGTTTCCAAATGAAATTTTATTGTGGACTAGAAAATCCAAATACAAGTTTTGAAATTTACTATCTAGGTTTCAAACTTTACAATGTAAATTAATGTAACCGTATTCCTTTTATTTTAATGAGAAATATTACACCACAAATATAACTAGCTAGTACAGTAGGCGAAGGCAGTTATTGGATATGACAACCAACTTTCGGGCTTTATTAGTACTTTTCTAATACTCCCACTATCTTAAGGCATATTTCATTTTTTTAATTTTCCAAATGAGATAGGCATATTTATCTTAATATTCCTTGGTTGCATACGTGCATGCATATAATGGATGAGTTAATTGTTCCTTGATCTTGGTAACAAAAGAAAAATATGTCTCAGATTTTTAAGATGAAGAGAGTAATGCACTTACCTAATCTAAAAAATAATTTAGATTGGGGAAAGTCCAAAACACCCCTGAACTATTGGGTGAGTATGAAATACTCCTTCAGACGCGAAAAACAAGATATCTTTCATCATCAACAATCAATACTGGATGAACCCCCCTCCCCAGCAGCTTTGCAAGTGGTTTTGATCTTACGTGGCAGTCCAGTCAAGAATAATTTTATTAAAAAAACTGATGGAGCCCACCTGCCATATCTCT